ACAATCTGCCGCCATCCTCCTCCGCGGCCCCCCCCCGCCCGACAAACGGGGCGCTTCTAAGAGCGGAGACGTGCCACTATCAGACCCGGCCACCATTGGGAGGCCAACATGGCAGGTAAGGGGAAGAGAGCCCCGTCCTTCGCGGGCACCGGGCGCTGCAGCCCGGCGAGGGCGGGGAGCGGAGCGAAGGGGGCGGAGCGAAGGGGGCGCAGCTGAGGCCACGGGGCCGGGGCGCGTGCAGGGAGCCACGGTCTCTTCTTCCCGGGGCTGCACATGTCTGCTCCCTCTTTCCCTTCCTCCTCTCTTTTTCTTGCATTGCCCTGGATCCCGGAGCGCAGTGTGCAGAGTCCGTTTCTCCCGCTCCCGATTTCCTTCCTTCTTCCTTCCTTCCTCCCCCGCCGCTTCTCCTCCCTGCCAAAAGATTTGCGTTGCAAAAGGGCAGCGGTGGGGTGAGGCGGGAGGAGTCCTGTGCCCCTGAAGTTCAGTGTGGAAGGGGGTTGCGGGCAGGGTGGGTCTCTCCTTTATTCCCTGTTCGACTTTCTGCTTCGGGCCGGCAGACCTCTCCTCCCGGCTGCCTCCCTGAAGCGCGGCTGGTGCTGGCGGTGTAGACGGGGCTGACAGAAAATGGTGTTTTGAGTGCATTGGCATCCTATTGTAGAGCTCACCTTTAAGACATCTGCAGATAAGAGTCAAATCAGACTCGCAAATAAAAAATACCTGTGTGTGTGCATGCTCTTGGGGTGGGGGGGTTTCTCTCTTTTTTTTCTTCTTTCTCATTTTCTTCTTCCCCATTTTGCAAATGGCTTTACTTCATGTACAGAAGTGTGGTTGGTAGGACATAATTTTGGGGGTTTTTTTACTTTCCCTCTTGGAATTATTTTTTTCCAGAGCGCTCTTCCTCCTCCTCTTCCTGCAAATAAATTGCATTTTTGATGCTTTGGATTTGGGGAGGCTCTGTTTAGGTGTGCATCTTGCTTTCTCCCCCACACTACAGCCCCCCTTCGCTCCACCCATCCTTGTCTTTTTAATCAATGGAAACAGGGTCTTGAAGGCAGCAAGTTGTTTGGAAAATGAAATTCAGCTTGATAGTTAAGGTGTGGTGGCTTTTCCTGCAAAATGTCATCCTCAGAATGCTTCCATGATGGGAAGTGCTAAATAACAAATATCAAAGGCTGGGTACAAGTGAGAAGTTGAGGATCCAGGTTTTGGGATGGTGGGAGAGATGGTCTGGTAGGGTGTACTCCAAGCAAATATTTTGCATAGGTGAACATCTTCGTGACACTTCCTATTGCTGCGTCTCAGTCTAATTCACTAATCTTTTGGTGCTTAAAGAACCACCAAGTTCAGACTTGTGTCTGATCCATTTCAAATGCTGGATTCCCCTCCCTAGTGCTGAGGCTGTCTCTTGATGATGTTTCACGGAGAAAGCAGCTTGCTTCTTCGTTCTTAAACTTAATTTAACTTGTTCTTTCCTGCATGCCCCTTGTCCCCAGAAGTGGTTTAGCAAGCACTTTGCAAACTGCATCTGTTGCTTAGTCCTGGGTTGTCATGGCTGGGAGGGAAGTTCCATGTCGACTGTCTCTTAGAAAGAGCAAGCTCATTTCAGTTTCTTCCTGGATGTACCAGCCCAGTGATTTGCTCAGCATGAAATGTAAAAGAAATGGGTGGTGGATTCCTGCGTGTTTTGGTGGCAAGGTTCAAATGAATCACTGCCTTCCGCTGAAGCAGTAATGTTTCTGAAGCTTTCTCTTCGATCCATTTTCTATGGTACTTACATTTGTTAACTTTGGGTAGATTTCAGGGATTTGATGTCTCTTTTTTTTTTCCCTCTCTCTTTCTCTTTCTGCCCTAGGTCTTATATTTACTCCTTGTGCTTCTGTTGGGGAATTGCAGAGTTGTTGTAAAACTTATCTAGTCTTTAAGTATTTAGTTGTTGTAACATTTTAAGGCAGCCAAAACAAAAGTCAGTTTTCTTTGTGGTGTGCAAAGGTTTTAAATGTTTGTAATGTTCTGAAAATCATTCCTGGACCTAATATTTATTTTTAAATGTAAATCACTTGCAAGTAGAAATCTGTTTTTTAGGTTTTACTGAAGTTCTGGAGTGGAAAAATGCTTTGATGCGAAATAGGCTGCTGCTGTTCTTTTGTTTTCACATAGCATTGTTTATGCATTCTCTTTTTTAAATGGAGCATAGTTTAACATTTTAATTGTAATTATTTTGGTAGTTTTATGACTTATCTAATTGTAGTGAAAAGCTTTGATCGTTCTTAGCACTACTTTAGCCAAATTGTGCTTTGAATGCAAATTGCGAATGACAAATGGTATCATTTTGGGGGAAGCACTTTGTAATCAAATTTTGGCAGCTGTGCTTTGGCTTGGGAAGTCTTGGTGGTGGGTGTGTACAACAGGCTCTGAATTGTTGCTTGCCAGCCCTAGATGCATACTGCCTCAACTGGAGCAAACAAAACTTGCAAACAACTTTAACAGGGGTCTCTGCTGCCTTTTTTTCCTTCCAGGAGCCGGAGGAGGAAACGATATTCAGTGGTGTTTTTCTCAGGTGAAAGGGGCTGTAGATGATGATGTAGCAGAAGGTAAGAAAAGAACTATTTCTTTAAGTTACCTGTCATTATCAGTTCTGGCTGTGGCAAACATTTTTAAATAATCTTCTCTGCTGAAGTCTCTTTGTTAAAAGTGAACTTTATTTTTACATAACTATAACAAAGTAGGTAAAAGCAGTGAAAAATTAAATGCATATCTGAATTTATGTATATTTAGACTCCAAGACTTGCACCCGGGGTATGGTGGGTCCAACTTGGGTCCAAGGTCAGATACGGTGTCTATAACTGACTGGACTTTTTCCAGTCGCGTTTAGTCTGTATGTTGCTTTACACCACTTTCTGTCAAATGGCCAGTTGTGACACTGCTATTTATTTGTTTGTGGTGTTTTTTTTCCGTCCATCAAATAGAGATAATGTTGCTTGTTCATATTCTGGCACAGGTGTTTGAAGATTGATTAATGTTTGTATAGCACTTCTAAAGACAGATGGTGCTAGATAAGTCATCTAACTTTGTTCTGATCTTTCTGTCATACATAACCATCAAAAGACTATTTTAAACTTTTAACAATTAAACATTCAGTGTTGAGAGGTTTTGTTTTTGTTTTGTTTTTAGGACTAAAGTTATTAAAAACAGCCTTACATTTTTGTAGTCAAGTGTTTGTGTATGCCCAGAGATGGATGTCACTTTAGCAATGAGCCTGTTTTTAGTTGTTGGGGGAAAAATTCCACTTGTGGTTTTCAAATGTTACTTCCTTTGCCTAAGCCCTTTTTCACCATTCAGATGGTTAGGCTGAATGGAGGCCTGGATCCTACATGCTGCTCTGTAGGGCTGGATATCCAAGCGTCTGTTTTGCACAGACCAGTTTGCAAGATCAGGAACTAGAAGAATTTTGTCTTGCAAGGAGTTGTCTTCAGTGTATGTAATGTGGGTCAGCATTGTATAGGCTTTGCACTTTATAACTTAGAGCCAAGTGTTAGATTTATGTTGCTTCTAGGAAAGAAGTAATTAATGTCCTTTCCATTACTTCAGCTTTTTTTGAGTTGTGGTTTGAAGTACCCCAGGCTGGGTAAAATATGGACCATGGACTGGGTCCAGTCTGCCAAGGGATTTTATCTGGCTTATGGTGGATCCCTCAGCCCTGCTCGTCCCTGGCTTGGGGCAGTCCAGGCTATGGCATGTGTAGCCTGTCCTCGTGCCTCTGGGCCTGCAGCATGATTGCGGCAGTGTAGCAGCTGGGTTTGCTTCCCAGCAGTCCCTGCAGCAGTGGCTCCTTCCAGCTGCCACTGCCAGTCTCTGCTGCCGGACCCAACCCTGCTGCCAGGGCACCCTGACCTGTCTGCCCCACACCCACTGCCGGGGTTGCCAGACAGCAGATGGGTGGGGTATCCATGGAAATATCCAGGATCCACATAGGCAGGATGTGCTTTGCTAGGTAGATGGGGTGAGGAAGGGCATCCAGGAGCAGGGCGGGCAGACCCGTGGGTGGGCAGGGAGGGGAATCTGGGAGTGGGGCTGGACACGGGGCCAGGATCTTGGGGTGGTGACAGTGTGGGGCCGGGGCCCCAAGGCAGATCCCCAATCCATTGCCTGTACAGCCCTGCAATGGGTGACAGTTGTGCAGGCAAGGGTGTGGGGCGAGCGTATTGAGGCGCTTCCCCTGGCCCTGCACTTTCACAGCCCCGTGATCTCAGCCCTGGCCCCGCTGGCCTGTTCCACTCTTGGATGCCGCTCCCTTGCCCACCTGTGTTCCCATCTGTTTGCCCGAATGCACCCTATCTGCGGGTCCCTGGCTGGTTTCCATGGAGACCCTGGGATTGCTGGGCCCGCCCTAGGGCATAGTCACAATATGCTTCGCTCATGCCCCTTCCTGCAGAACCGGTGCCTGTTGTAGGGGTGTGCAGGCAGTGGATTGTGGCTCTGCTTGGGGCCCTGGCCCCTCGATCCAGATCCCAGCCCCGGCCCCACTCGCCTCTCCCTCTGTACCCCACCTGCCCATGGCTCCATCCCATCCACCAGGCCAAGTGTGGGGCAGAGCCACTTAGGGAGTTTTGGTGAGCTGTTGATGCTCACCCTGCCCCAGGACAGCTTACCAGAACTCCTTAAGTGGATTTGCAGCCAAAATAATTGCCCGCACCTGAAGTAGCCTCTGAAAGGCTAAATGTTGTCTAGAATTGCCACCAATGTAGCAGCACAGTTGTCTTGTTTGTGGTTTGTTTTTCTTGCAACATGTTGCAACATGTAACAATAATAATGCCATTCAAGGATTGTCAGGCACTTACAAAAAGATGAAGTATGTCTCTCTGTCAGAAAACATCAAATTGCTCAGTAAATATTCTTAAATCCTGAATTCTAGATTACTGTTAAGTATTTCCCCTGCCAGGTATTTTTTTCTGGTGAATTTTATTTCAGTTGGAATTCTTTAGCTAACTAACTTCTTAATTAAACTAAGAGAAATTGGGGCACTAGTGACTGCCTGTAGCAGGTGCTCATGAATATTCCTACTAATGGATTGGGCATATAACCCAGAGAGTTTGCATCCTTTCCAGGTAGTAATAGTGGTATTTTTCTGCGTTTCTGTGTATGAATGGGTTTTCCAATGATAGAGAAGTCTGAGAGCCATGAAATTCTGTCCTTAGCTTTTCTAGTTTCATAGCTGGTGGGGTCAGAAGGGACCTGAGCAGATCATCTAGTCTGCCCCCCCGCCATGGCAGGAAAGAGTACTGGGGTCAAACAACCCCGG